CCTTGGGTGGAGCTCCCTGTGGGGCCTCGAAAAAGCTCTCATGGGGCCACGAAAGGCTGTACTAGGTGTGGCGGATGCATGTGGCCACCCCTGCTGGGGCCGCAGGTGGAGCTCCTTATGGGGCCACGAAAGGCTGTACTGGGTGTGGCGGACGCACGTGGCCACCCCTACTGGAGCTTCCGGTGGTCCGGTGGTGCTCCCTATGGGGCCACGAAGCGTTGTACTGGGTTTGGCGGCCGCATGTGGCCACCCCCACTGGAGCTTCAGGTGGAGCTCCTAATGGGGCCACGAATTGTTGTACTGGTGTGGCGGACGCATGTGGCCACCCCCAGTGGGTCCTTGGGTGGAGCTACGTCCGAGGCCACGAAGCGTTGTACTGGGTGTGGCGGACGCATGAGGCCACCCCCGCTGGGTCCTTGGGTGGAGCTCCCTATGGGGCCAGTAAAGGCTGTACTGGGTGTGGCGGACGCATGTGGCCACCCCCATTGGGTCCTTGGGTGGAGCTCCGCATGGGGCCGCGGTGAAGCTCCCGATGGGGCCACGAAGCGCTGTACTTGGTTGAAGAAAAGAAGGGTGGAGGGGGAAGGAAAAAGGGGAGGAGGGAGGAGGGGGAGGAAGAGGAGGGAACGCTGGGACCGTTTCTTTTGAACGAGGACCCAACTCCACATGATGGTGGGGAAGTATTATTGCAACCACCACCACCACTTTCATTATTTCATTACTGCTACGAGTACTACGACTACTACGACTGCCGCTACTACTACTATTACTACTACTACTACTACTACTACCACTACTACTACTACTACTACTACTACGACTACTACTACTATTGCTACTACTACTACTACTACTAGTACTACTACTACTACTACTAATACTACTACTACTACTACTACTACTACTACTACTACTAATACTACTACTACTACTACTACTACTACTACTGCTGCTGCTGCAGCTGCTGCTGCTACTACCACTACTACTACTACTACTAACACTAACACTAACACTACTACTACTACTACTACTACTACTACTACTACTACTACTACTACTACTACTACCGCTACTACTACTACTACTACTACTACTACTTCTACTACTACGACTACGACTACGACTACTACTACTACTACTACTACTACGACTACTACTACGACTAGTACTATCACGATTCTACTACTACTACTACTACTACTACTACTACTACTACGACTACTACTGCTTCTACTACTACTACGACTGCTGCTACTACTACTACTACTATTACTACTATTACTGCCACTGCCACTGCTACTATTACTACTACTACTACTACTACTACTACTGCTACTACTACTAGTATTACTACTACGACTACTACTACTAATACTACTTCTAGTGCTACTACCACTACTATTACTACTACTACTACTACTACTACTACTACTACTACTACTACTACTACCACCCACCACCACCACCACCACCACTACTACTACTAGTGCTACTACTACTACTACTACTACTACTACTGCTACTGCTGCTACGACTACTATTACTACTGCTACTACTACTACTACTACGACTACTACTACGACTACTACTACTACTACTATTACTACTACCACCACGACTACCTCTACTACTACGACTCCTACTATTACTCCTACGATTACTGCGGCTACTCCTACTACTACTACGACTACTGCCAGTACTACTACTACTACTACTACTTCTACTACTACTTCTACTACTACTACTTCTACTACTACTACTACTACTACTACTACTACGACTAGTACTACTACGACTACTGCAGCTACTACTACGACTATTACCTTTACGCCTATTACTATTAGGACTACATTTACTACTACTACTACTACTACTACCACCACTACTACTACTACTGCTGCTGCTACTACTACTACTGCTACTAGTATTACTCTTTCTACTACTACTACTACTACTACTACTACTACTACTACTACTACTACTACTACTACTACCACTACCACTACCACTACCACTACCACTACCACTACCACTACCACTACCACTACCACTACCACTACCACTACCACTACCACTACCACTACCACTACCACTACCACTACCACTACCACTACCACTACCACTACCACTACCACTACCACTACTACGTTTTTCACTACTCGCGCTACGACTACGACTACCACCACTACCGCTTTAACGGACAATCGTACCACTACCGTCACTGTTGTAACCATTACGAGCAGCAGCTTTTCTACCACACACCACTCAATGACCACATTCGCCGTTAACGCTTTCAACATCATATATTTATACAGCCACACCTTGGGGTAAAGAAACATGCCTCGCGCAAACAAACTCTTCACGGATATAACAAATGATCTCATAATCGGTCTCACAGTCGATTTTTCGATCGATCGCACACTTGACCTAACTATCTCATTCACTGCACATCTTATTACCGATCCCGCTACCAAGTTTACAGTCGATCTCACTGTCGACC